ATATGAAGCTAATACAAATTTGCTTAGTAAATAGAATAATAGCTAATAAGAAGTTATATATGAGATTTATAGTATATGTATTAGTACTATAAATAATTTTTAATTTTTATGCCTTAGCATAAGCTATAATAGTATATTCTATCTTGATTATCTTTTTCTCTGTCTTTTTTTTTTCTTTTATTTTCTTTTTAGACTTTCTTTTTTTTTGTATAAGCAGTAGTTATTCTTATCTTTTGTTACTTTTCTTTTTATTTTTTTTAATTCTTGTTTTTTTGTTAGTCATTTGGAACTTAATTCCTTCAGCTTGAGAAGCTAGAAGAATAAGATTAGAAAATTAGACAATTTTGATAAAACAGTATATAGTAATCTTCTGTTGATTAATTGAACATGATCTTGCTTAGGCAAGCTATTCTTTTGAAAAGAAAATTGCCTATTGTAGTTAGATTGTATCTGAGTACCATTATGATAGCTGAGTAAGTTTAGACTTGTACAAAAAGAATAATTATATAGCTAGCTTTGCTAAAATTATATTTTTTGTTATAATATTATTATATATTTTCTTTTAATAAAAAAAAGACAAGATTGCTTAAGTTCCAAAAGATATATTATTATATCTTTTTATATTTCTGTGCAGTGATCTATCTCTTTAATGTAGATAACTGTATTTTTTTTTTCTTATTTTTAATTTTTTAATTTTTTCTTTTAAAATTTTTTATGAACTTTAATTTTTTTTTTTACTTTATTTTAAACCTTAATTTTAAACATGTATAATTCTTTATTTTTATTGGTTTATAATTACTAAATCTAAACATTCTTAAGGAGTGTATTTAAATTTTTTATTATCTGCTTGCTTTAGTAAAGTAGTTTAGATTTGTAACTATGAGGCTAGTAGTTATAGATTCAATACCTGCTAGTTGCTAGTTAATCTACTAACAAGTTATAGTAGTGAACTAGCACTAAGTAGAATTTCTTTTTATTTAATTATTTAAATTATTTTATTTAAATTATTTTATTCCTCTTTTCAAAACAATCTCTTTTTATATAGATATTTATTAAATAATTTTTATTAGAACACTTTTATAATTTTATCAGATTAGATATTTTATCAAGCAATTTTTTTTAATTTTAATTACGTGAATTATTTGAATTCAATTGAATAATTTCAACTAAAAATTTAATTATACTAGTTTTATTATAATTATTAGTTAAAAATATTTATAGAACTCATTTCTAGAATATCAACACTTAGTTATTTTTTATAGAGCTCAAAACTAAGTGAGGAAAAATATTATAAGTAAAATAACTTCTAATAAGAATAACTTTTGATCTACTAGTCTAATTTAAATAAAACACATACTATTAGAATTTACTTATCAAGATAAATCCAACAAGCTAAAGATCATTCAAATTCAATTACTAAATACCAAGATATACAAGTTCTAAATTGTATAACCTTGAGAATGCATATGTTTGTATAATGATCATCTGTACTCAAAATCTATTAGTTCTACTAGAACTTAAATTTTTACATGTTCTACAAGATATTTAGAATTTATAATAACTATTATTTCTATTATTTCTTTTTAACTATTATATCTTTAATATATAGTAGATATAGTATATCTTTTATATCTTTTAGTTATTTTATATATATTAGCACTATTAATTTAACTATTTAGTATTGATTATATAGTAGAATTTTATTATTATTTTTATCTAATTCTTATATTATAACAATTTGTATAAAAAAAACTGCTTTTTTGCTTTGCTAAACTTTAGACAATTTCAAGATATTATAAGATAGTTGTTTCAGACAAGTTCTTTTCTGTTCTTTAATAAACAAATATAATATTAATATTTTTATATATTAATTATTATCTCCTAATTGTCTCGAGTATCTTTATAAACTTATAAAGATACAATTAGTAGTGTCTTCATACATTATTAATTGTCTACTACTTCTTTTATTAAGCTTTATTCTAATTCCTTTAGTTAAGTTTTTTTAGATATTATAAATATCCAAGCTGTATAAGGATTAGTTATTATACTAGTCTTAGCTAGTCTCTAGGAATTCTATAAAGGGTGAATTCCTAGTATTAACAGTATATTCTCTATGAATAGTATCATCTGAAATCTATTATTACTTATCTCTACTTTGAATATAATCTAATTAGTTAGGTCTGATTATGTTAAAATATTTGATACTACTGCTATATATTAGAAATCCAAAATCTGTAACTGATTATAATAATTTACTATGATTAATTGTGGGTCTTTTCTTAGCAGTATTCATTTATAATTTGGATTCAATAGAGACACTAAGCTTTAATCTGTATCAGTTTTAAAATAGCTTAGCTAGCATAGCAGTACTACAAAGTTTGAAATATACCAAAAGCTTAGTCTTATCATATTTAGAGCTATTAATTAATCTGTCTAGTCTAGAGATGAGAATTAAATTTCTGATAATCATTTTAATTATTAATTAAATTAGAATTGATTCTCATTTTTTGTATAATTATTATAATCATTTTTAGAAATGATTATATATTTTTGAATTAATTCTTGGATTAGAATTGATTCTATATATATAATCATTTTAATTATAATAAACTTTCACTTATTTTAAGTTATTTTATGTATTTTAAAAATAGTTTTTGTTTTTAAACTTTATAAGTCATTTAGCTTAGTTTTTAGTTTGTAATTAGCTATCTTATTTCATATATTACTATAAATATTTAAGATTGTTATGTTTAATTTTCTTGATGACTATATGTTTGTTAAATATAAAGCTTATTGTTTTTATTAAATTTTAAATTTATAGTTTTTGGATTTGGTATCTGAATTATGTACTATATTATACTCTTTTTTCTTATATATTCTAGTATATATTTGTTTCAGAATTACTTAATGCTACTCACACTATTTAGCTTATGTTAAATGCTATCTAATACTATTTGGGCTATTCTTAATGCTATCTGATATATGCTGCAGGCAAAAATTATCCAAATATTATCTAAATATACATATTTAAATAGTGTAAATACTATCTGATATTCTATTTGAATATCTAGAAATTATTTGAATATTAGATAATTAATAGATCTAACTTCTTAAACTGATAAATTAAAATAATAAATATTTTTTTTTTTTTTTTTTACTTTATACAAATACCATCAGCTGAAACTTTATTGGTTATTTGATAGTAAGTAATGATACATATTGTGAGGATACAACTAGTCACATATACAACTTTAGATTGTCTATTTAAGTAGTCCGCCTGAAAGTTTTACACTAGTTGCGAACCTAAAATCTATTTAAAGATTCCCTATTTAAACTCTCTGGCTCTATGACTTACCTATTTCTATCTATTTATACCAAACCAGCCTAACCTCATACTACTTCTTCAGGAAGACACCTGAGCTGATATATGTCTACAAACTTTATGATTTGAAGCCTAAGCCTATTTCAGATACCCTTTCACTAACTTCCAAATCGATGAGTGCTGTAGTACTCAACTATACTATGCTATATCCCAATTTAGCTTGTATATATCCTTGTTTGATATTCGTACAAACCTGGTTTCTACTGTGGTCTTCTACCAAGTTAGTCATCTGTGCTTCCAGATATCACACGAAGTAGTCCTCCCAAATCTGTTACTTAGTGTTGCCTGCTTTGCTACTAGATATCACACAAGACAGATCCTTCCAAATCTAGTTAGCTGCTAAGCCAAGTTGGTATTGCTGTATGACCTCGTATAATAGACTTACTTGCAACTGTTTTGTCGATCCTTCTATACTTAGGACTTACTCGTATCTATTTTGCCGATCTTTTTATACGCAGATTTCCTTTCTCAGATCAGACGTTAACCAGTATGACTGTTGAAATCTGTACTACTTCATCTAACTCAGGATTTCTACCATGCAGATCCCCTGCTCATAGATCCTATCAAGATTTATTTATGTAACGTTATGCCTCAAGTAGGCAACATTATATATATAATGTTGCCTACTTACTCTAGATTGTTACCTACTTACTACCTTAGACTAATACTTACTTATAACGATATGCTTGTCGTTATTCGAGTAATGAATAATTCGTACTTGCGTCATCAGAGATATATTAGTATTCACTCTGTCATTCAAGTGATGATTAGTTCACGAGTTCATCATCATTTGAGTGATGATTAGTTTACGAGTTCGTTATTATTTGAGTGATGATTAGTTCACGAGTTTGTCATCACACTTAGGTATCTCACAACTTATAAAAATTATGATGACGATTTTATGTTCGCATCATCACTTCTACATGTGACATATCATTTGCTAGTTTGGTAATTTCTGTCGTCAGTGTTGTGACAATAGAAATATGATACTGTCATCAGTGTTATAATATTACTGAACTTATATACCTTGAGCACATACCTGAAAACATACATCGAAATGGGTAGCCTTCTCCCATAATTATTATAATATATTACTGAAGTTAGCTACTCTGATACATACACAAAAATATATCCAGAAATATATCAGAAAAATAGGTAGCTAACTTCATTTTTCTTATAATATATTACTGAAGTTAGCTACCATGATCACATACCCAAAAACATACTAATAAAATAGGTAGCTATCTCCTATAATTATTATAATATATTACTGAAGATAGCTACTCCAAAAACATACCCGAAATATGTTATCAAATAAATGTCATAAAGATATACTCGAAAACACACTTCAGGAATGGGTAGCCTTCTCCCATAATTATTATAATATATTACTGAAGTTAGCTACCCTTCATAATCTATTACTGAAGTTATATACCCAAAGTAATTCACTAATCGAGACCACAATTCTCTTCATTCATCTCACTAAAACTTGATGCATCTTTTTTTGACATCTCTTACTAGGTAAGAAAAAAAATTAATTTAAACTTTTCCAAACTATATTGTAATAATATAATCGAACAAAGATTGATACATACCAATAAAAGACAAAATACTAAAAATGAGTAAACAAAGTGCACAGCAAATGCAGTATGGGAGCTGGGAAACTGATGACTATTCAAGTAACTCAGATGTTTATAGTGATAATATATCTGAAAGTGGATCAGAGAATTGCAGTGACTATAATTCTGATTACAAATCAGATAATGAAACAAATACTATTGAGTCTCCAATATCTCAACCCCCTAAAGTAGAAGAACTAATGTCTAATACGACATATTCCACAAAGCAAGTGAGCCCCACATATTTCAAAAGGCAAGAAAGATTCGATGATAAATTTATACAAAAAGATTTGCTAAATAAAATTTGTGAAATTGCTTCCTCACCCACTAGAGATATATCAAATAATAAAGGTTCATTGGAAGATATATATCTGTGGGATTATCTCTTACCTAATTACGGAGCAAAAGAAGGAATCAGTCTACTTGATACATATAAAAGAGAGGAGTTAGCAGATAAATTAGTTATCCAGGTAGAACAGAGTAAATATAAAAAGTTTTCTGTTATAAATGATATATCTGAAGTATATAGAGTCCCTGGAATACATGAATGTATTAACGGACAACGAGCTTTGAGACCTGTAATTGATATTGACGCTCCATTAGGGGATATGGAAGCTGAGAAAGTAAAGGCAAGAGATGTTTTCATTCGAATCTGTGTTTCCTTTATAAGAGTACTGTATATAATTTTTGATTGTAGTTGGGAAGAAATTTTTAAGGGATTAGTAATTGTTACATCATCTGATAATAATAAATGCAGTTATCACTTTCTATATACCCCAACTCTACTTATTGATTATCTAGAACTCAAAGAATTTACAGAATTGGTATATAAGCTAACGAGAAAAAAGTATGTTAAGTTTATTGATATAGGATTGCCTGGCCGAAATTTTAATTTTTGTCTCATCGGTTCTGCAAAAAACGATCGTGTGAAGCACATACTTCAATTCTCACTAGATAATGGATGAAATGATCTCAATAATACCAGAGTTCAGCCACCTACTAGTTCGAAATTCGAAATAAGGCCCCATATACTTAGTATAAAAATAAATAATCAGAAAAAAATAATTGTGGGTCAAGATGCGTTAAAAAAATATGCGAATCTAGTTTTGCAGAAGTATCCTAATTATCTTGGTGATTGGGATATTGAAGAAAAAAATTCTCAATGGTATACATATTTCAATCGAAAAACATATCTAGAATGTCCACTATGCAATTGCACACGACAAGGATCAGTAATAGTTTGGTCATGTATTTGGTAATAGTTCATTCATTGTAAAATGTTTCTAGCAAAATCGTGATGAATCAGGAGAAATTTTCAATAACCCATCTATTACAGAAAAATCCAGCAAAAAAATAAAAATAATACTACACCATTTGTTTCTTATAAAATAAAGAGCCCTAAGTTCCCAAAACCCTTTTTGAATGTACTACCTCAATATCAAAATATTAATGATTCTTTAACTACTACAATAGCATATAAAGATCAATATATAAAAACTTTACCAAAAATACTAGATATCTATGTAGGATCACCTTGAGGAACGGGAAAAACATATGCTTTAGAAAAAATTAAATACCCCCAAAATGTAAGCATGCTTGTAGTGTCAACATGACATTCTTATTCTAATGCTATTACTACAAGACTTAATCTTGAATCTTATGCTTTCTCTTATTTTCTTAACTTCAACGTACTCAGATGATGTTCCTATCCATATACCATCTGATACTTTGGATTTTGTGCCTAGTCTCTATGCAATTATTTCAGATTTTGCTCCATTGATCTCTATATCATTCAGCTTAAAGAACTTATTAGATATATTTACAATGTTCTGCAATGAGTCTTTAGATAATACAATCTATGTAATATCATCTGCGTAGGCTAGTACTAAGACTTCAATAGTTTCTTTCTTTGTAATATTTTTACTTATATCTGATGGCCAATTCAGATACATTTGGTATCCTAGTTTTGCTTGTTGTATACGTACTAGTAGTAGATCATAAAAAATTCTCTACATCAAAGGTGAGATAACTTCCTCTTGGTCTATCCCATCTCCTGCTGTAAAAAAACTTATTGGTCTACTGTCTGTAATTACTCTGATTTTACGGTCTTTGTATAGGTGCTTAATGAACATGATCAGCTTTTCAGGAAACTTTATCCTTTTTATAGCACGTTCAAGTGCTATTATGCTAACTGAATCAAATGCCTTCCTCATATCTTGGAATGCTATCTAAAGCTTGCTATTTTTTGTTTAGCATCTTCAATTATATTGTTTAAGATATGTATTAGGGCTATATACTTTCTTCAGGTAGTCCTGCGAAGTTTGCATCTTTGAGTATATTCTTTTGACTTATTATTTTGTACAGTCTTTTCTGAACAATTCTTACTACTAGCTTTCTAAATGTTTCAAGTAACATAATAGATCATGTAGCTGCTAGGTTATATTCCTAGTTAGTACTCTTTAGAATTAGATAGATTTGGTCAAGTTTCCACTTCTTTGGAAACTTTTCTTTTAGGATAACCCTGTTTGCAAATTCTATTAGTCATTTTTTGCTTTCATTGTTTATATTTTTGATTAGCTTATAGCCAATGCCTGATATTCTTGGTGCAGTATCTTTTTGTAATATGTTTATTACTTTATTCCATTCTTTTTCTGTAATTTCTTCTATGATCAGTTTGTACTACTCTTTTCTAATGCTATCTTGCTCTTTGTATATTTCTTTCCACTTGTTATCTATTTTATCAAATTTGTGTTTTCTTCATCTAAACTAGTCCTGGAAGTGTCTCATTACCTCTTCTTTAATCTCTTCTTCTTCTGTTTTTAATGTTGCATTTACTAACTTTTCTTTACTATTAACTAATACTTTGTCTAAAACAATTTTGCTATGGTATTGTTCTAATAAACTATTAAGTATTTTCTTTGGATTTGCTGTGTCTATTGCGAATCTTCTCTCAATATATTCATTAATTTCTTTTTCTTTCTCTACTTTAATTTCTTTTCTTGCTCTTTCTCTTAGTATATTCCACTAATCTTTAATTTCTATGCACTATTCTTTTTCCCACTTACCTTGTAGCTCAGGTATTTGCATATTGTATTCACTATTTAAATACCTAATTTGTACATTATAAAGCATTTCATCTATTTCTTCTATATCTTTCTCCAAGCTACTCATCCCCTTTTTGAACAATATTCTAAGCATTTTTGTCCTGCTATATATTAATAACTTTGATATTTCTTTTTGGATCTGGCTCTTTGTATTTTGTGTTTTTGTTAATAGAATATGCTTATTTGCTGCTACTGTGATTGCTTTTACTATTGTATTCTAACTATCATCAATACTTTCCTTTTCTGCGTTTTCTATTTTACTCTTTTGTTTTTCTTGCCTTCTTTCTGTATTTTGAAATACTTGTTCTACCTTAAGACTGTATGCTTCCCAATCTTCTTTTGTGGCTTTGTTGTAATAATATATTCTTCTCATTTTTTTCTTTTCTTTTTAGTTTCTTACCTTATTTTTTTCGAACAGATCTACACTATTTATTTGTAGCCAAACTATATTATGATCGCTATCTGTTATAGTTTCTGCACTATCTATATCACTTTTTGTGATAAATGGTTTTAAATCCTGATAGCACCAAATATAATCTATTCTTGTTGCAACTCTACTATTCGACAATGAGAACTTGATTGAATTAGGGTTGCAAAAGCGAAAGATCTCTATGTGGTCTGTTCTTTTAAGCCACTTTATAACTCTTGAATTAGCATCTATTGTTTTTTTTCCTTTGCTACTTGTATCTAATTCTCTATCGAGTGTTGCATTAAAATCACCTATGATGATACTGTTACAAGTGGTGTAGCCTTCTTAATACACCTCAAGTAACATAAGACACCGAAGGGGGACTCTCAACGGTATCAAAGTGGAATATTACATCACTGTAGTGGTTCGTTAGAGAAGTTTATTTTTAAAGCCAAAAGATCATATTTATTAAAGAACTAATAGAGAACTTAGAACTTTAT